GCCTGGGATGAGTTCCACCAGGTGGCCCAAAAGGTCCCGAAGTTCTGGTGTACACCGAGCGATCTTTGTCAAGACTGAGCCGGCACCCAGATGGGTCCCTACACAACACAGCCGGATACGGGCGCGGTGTGCAGTCCTTCCTGAGGCCACGGCCATCCAGTAGTGATCACCTGAAATTATTTTCCTGCACCGTGAAATGTTTCCTTCTCTTCTTTCTTTTCCAGGTCGCTTACAAAGCCAAAGGAGAGGAAATTCTGCACAAGTACAACCTGCCGGCAGACCTCCCACAATTCATTCAGGCTAAAGTTAACGCCTACAATATCAGTGAGGTGCGTGTGGGCTCGGGCTGAGGTGCGTGTCCAGCCTCCGCGAATGCAGTCTTGAACTATACCCAGACGCTACTTGTCTTGCAGAGCATGTACAAAGCAGACCTGAAAGACTTGAGCAAGAAGGGCTACGACCTGAGAACCGATGCGATTCCCATCAAAGCTGCCAAGGCTGCCAGGCAGGCGGCCAGTGACGTAAGTCCCGCGGCGGTCACGTGTGTAGCTGGGAAACGTGGGTGGGCTCGGCGCCGGTCGGGTGACCCGGAGTCAGTGCTTCTGCTGTCCCGGGCTAGAAGCGAGTCAGGCTGAAAACTGCTCAGGAAAGAAAGCTCCCTAAACCGATCCAAATTTTCTTGGCGGAAAGGACTGGCACAACGGTCTACTAACGAGCTCCCATCCAGGCTCCTAATTTAGAATCCTTGTCGCACTTCTGCGCAGACTCCTACTGGTCTCCTGACGCTAAAATTTTATCTCTAAGCTTTGTGAGTTGGTATGATTTTCTTCGTTTCCCTTTCCTCTCTTTTCCGTTCATTGCATCTAGAGACTGGTGGGTTGGCATCGAGCTGTACAGACTCCGGAATCATTAGTTTCCCTGGAAGTGAAGCCTTTCAAGAGGCCGGGAACGTAGCTCAGCAGCAGAGCTCGTGCTCAGCATGCCTGCAGCCCTGTGTTCAATCTGCAGCACCGGAAACAATAAAAAATTATTTCGTACCCACTTTCAGTGTAACCCAAAAACAAACTGAATTTTTTTTCACTTCAAGATTTGAGTAAAATTGGAGCAAACCCCAGCTGTTGTCCTACCAAAAGCAGAAGCCCCTCCCCCTGATGGTGGCACACCCAGCGAGTTTTTATTGTGAGCCTCTCTGGCTCTTGGTTTGCACTGAACGGTTTTCCTTGAGCCCCCCTGGGTCTTCCCTGGTGGATCTACTTCTCCTTCTGTGCTGCAGGACCCAGGTGGAACAACTGTTTCTTTTTTATTCCCTTGAACATTCCCAGCACTTTACCAATTGATAGGAGGTTAAAATTGCACCAGTGTAAATACATTACAGCTAGATAAAAAGTGCCTCACCCCAACCCTTCCCACCACATGCCCTTCCTCTCTGGGTGTTTCCCTCCGCCACCCCAGCCCCCATATAGCACAAATGTTCCCTCACACCTCTGCTCCTGCCTCCAGGGTCCCCTCCAGGCCTCCCGAGAAAGCTAATTTCCCCTGGCTTTGTTAGTCAGAGCCAATCAGTGTTAATCTGTTGGCTTTGGGACTTCCTTTCAATGACTAAGGGCTCATTAAAATTCTACTACTACTAAAATCCTCTGGCCAATCCAATAACCCGGTGCTTGGAGCTCCAGCAGCACAGTGTAATCCACAGAGACTGTGACATATTTACCTTTTCATCTTTCTCTCTGGTGTTTCAGCTGGAAGGAGTGATATGGACACCTGTTTTGTCGCAGATATGAATTGGGACGATGTTGTCTCCCCAGCCTCTCTTGGGGCAGAAGTAGCAACAGACACTTATATGGGTTCTAAGTAACATTTTCATTGTACATCTCAAAGTATAGTCTACCTTTTGTTTCCTTAGATTCCTCATCCACAGGCTTCACCAACTGTGAATCAAAAATATTTGAAAACAGTTTTAGCTGTGTTAAACTTGTACAGACCTTTCCTGTCATTATTCCCTAAACATTATATAGCACTACAAAGCATTTTGTATTAGGCAGTGTAAGTAATCTAGAGACGGCAAAAAGTATAGGAGAAGTGCACAGGTTACATACAAATACGCTGCCATTTTATACGAAAGACTTGGATGTCCACGGACTTCTGTGGGTTGGGCTGAGGCTGGCAGTCCTGGATGTCCTTTGGCAGTCCTTTGGCAGTCCTTTGGCAGTCCAAAAGTGCTGTGCGAACACTGAGGCTGACTGTATATATAACTGAATAGCCATTCGGTTATTGACTTACAGTAATTTCTGGGGACCTGTTATTTCGGTCATGGACTCATGGTTCTGTAAAACTTCAAAATTACATTTCCAAATATGTCCACCTTTTGATTCCAATAGGTTCAGTATAAAAAGGATTATGAAAAAGCTAAAGGGAAGATGGTTGGCTTCCAAAGTCTCCAAGATGATCCTAAACTGGTTCATTACATGAACGTGGCCAAGATACAGTCAGACCGGGAGTACAAGAAAGACTACGAAAAGACGAAGACCAAATACAACACGCCTCACGATATGTTCAACGTCGTGGCTGCCAAGAAAGCGCAGGATGTGATCAGCAATGCCAACTACAAGCATCCCCTGCACCACTACACCTACCTGCCCGACGCCATGGGCCTCGAGCTGTCTAAGCACATGATGCACATCCAGAGCGACGTAAGTGACCGCACGCCCACCTGGGCCCCGCTTTCCCGGTCGGGCTGCTCCCGGCGCCTCACCCTCCTCTCCCCTGCCTAGAACGCCTACAAAGATGACTACAACACCTCGATGAAGGGCATTGGCTGGGTACCCATCGGCAGCCTCGACGCAGAAAAAGTCAGAAAGGCGGGTGATGCCCTGAATGAAAAGAAGTACAGGCAGCACCCCGACACCCTCAAGTTCACCAGCGTCATGGACTCCCCCGTCATGGTCCAGGCAAAGCAGAACACGCAGCAAGTCAGCGATGTGAGTCAAAGGAGAGAGAGGGCAGAGGGAAGCTTTAAAAAAATCTATATCAGCTCAATATTTTTAATTCTTCTAAGCCACTGTCTTTCCCTTTTAAATGCTATTTTATAAATTTAACTTAAAAATAAAATAATTATTATTTTTAGTTTGCACACATTTTCTTTTTTCCCTGAAAAACATTTTTTACTTTTTTAAAAACACATTTTCCTTTTTAACCACTTTTTTTCCTTTTTTTTTTTTTTTGGAGACACAGTTAGGTTGGCCTTGAACTCACTATGTAGCCCAAACTGGCGTTGAACTCACACTGATCCTCCTGCCTCATCCTCCCAAGTGCTGGGATTACAGGCATGTACCAACATGCCTGGCTCTTAACTGCCCTTAAAAGACTGTGTTATTAAATAGGTTTAACTTGGTCCAAAAGTGCTAATACTAATCACATATACACAGAATTTAAATTTGTATCACAGACACTTTATTGTGGCAAGTTCTTTGTATTTAATTCCATGTTTTTGTTTACATTTGCTTTCTTTGTATGAAGTATCTATATAGGGGAATATATATATATATGTTTTTGTACACATATGTTATAATATATATACACATATGTTTTTGCTCCTTAGAATTCAGCATACACAGTGACATTTTGACATTTTTCAGTGATGATTAGTGTTGTATGCCTGCCTAAATATGGGCAGTATATATGCTGTGTCCAAAGTCAAAATTTTTATCGTTCACACATTTTTTTTAACTTGCCTGAATTTTATCTGCTAAGCATTTCCTTCTGAAAGGAACGTTTGATATGGAGAAGAGCAGCAAGGACATCAAAAGCACGCACTCATGAATTCCCTTATGGATATTTTTGAGCGCGTCCTGTGTGCCAGGCACTGTATAATGTGTGGTGGTGACGCAAGGGCAGAGCAGTGCAGGACAGTGGGATGCAGGAGTTCACAAGAGCACAGGACAGAGGGGAGGATGTGAGCAAAGCATGGCCGTGCGGAGGGCTGATGCTGCAGCACAGGCAGAAGTTCACTAAACACGAGGGAGCTGGACAGCCGCCTACCAGAGGGTCCTTGGCAGACAGGGGTGGGCAAGTTTCTGGCTAAAGGAGCAGCGTAAGGCAGGAAAGAAGGAATGAATGGAAGGAAGTGAAAAGTTCAGGACTCTGACCCAGCGGTAGAAGATCTCGTATGTTAATGTGTAGGGTCAGGATCTGGGGGTGACAGTGGGAGGTGTGGAGACTTTTAGTCTCTGAGGCACATTATCCAGTCTGCGTTTTAAAAGATAACACTGGCAGGAAAGTGTGGAGAGTATACGGGAGAACTGAGAGGGTACAGGCAAGAAGCTGAATCAGAAGGCTATGAACTGAAAGCAGAGGGAAGACTTCGTTGAAGTAAAATTAAGGTGGTAGCAAGGGGCAAGAAGGAAGTGTTTAGAAGATAGAAGTCATTAGTGGCTTCTTTGAATGTTTAGACATTGTTCCTAAAAGCACTGAGGAGTTAAAGATAATTCTTGGGTTCCTAGAAAAAATGACTTACTATTTGGGAATTTATTTAGATACTAACCATTTTAGATTTTGCTTGTATATATACACAAATGTAGATGTGCTAAACCATATAGTCCTTGGGAAATGAGGGTATATAATCTAAAAGGCAGTTAAAAGACTGAAAATCTACTTGTGATTCTGGATCTTAGTTTTAGTAATTGAACAACTTACTCATTTTCTATTAACAAGAAGAGGATACACTAAGATCCATACTTTGTGTACAATAAGGTTTCACATCACACAGTATCTTTCAGTGAAAGTGTATATAGTTCTTTTAAATGACAAAATAAGGTAAACATTGGGCCAGCCATGTTGGCGCACACCTACATGGTGAGACCTGCCTCAAAAAATAAAATTAAGGGGCTGGGGACTTAGCTCAGCGGCAAAGCGCCTGCCTGGCAAGCGCAAGGTCATGAATTTGGTTCCCGGTACCAGAGAAAAACCAAAAAAATAAAAAATAAATAAAATAAAATAAAATAAAATGGTAAATATGAAATGGTAAACTTTGTAAGTATGCTGAATTGATGCATAAGTACCTTCCTATTAAGAGAAAATTATTATATAGTTTTATTAATACAATTGTAATTGGAACATTTTTAGCAGAAAATAAGACTCATTCTAACTACTCTTTCATCTGTAGGGATGAAAATCCAGAAATTAAATAATAAGAGCAAAAACTTACAAAACTGTAAGAACTGTTAACTTCACTGGCAAAGAATAAACTTACCTGGCATGGAGAAGTCCATTATTTGCCTTAGGGTTTTGCATTTTAATTTATTTTCCCTGCCTTTCCAGCAGCCGGGGATTTCCATTTTGTTAAGGGTTTTTTCCTTTTTCAATTTTAATACACGAAATTGTTGGGTCTTCCTAAATAGAAAAATGTGTTCTTTTTTGCTTTTTTGTGGCACTAGGGGTTGAACCCAGGACCTTTCTCCTAAGCTATATCCTCAGCCCCTCCCCCATCTAAAAATTTTTTTGAGGGGCTGGGGATTTAGCTCAGTGGCAAAGCGCCTGCCTGGCAAGTGCAAGGTCGTGAGTTCGGTTCCTGGTACCGGAGAAAAACCAAAAAAATTAAATAAATTAAATAAAATAAATAAAAAAATAAAAATTTTTTTGAGACACAATCTTTCTAAATTGCTAAATTGCCTAGGCTGGGATTAAATTTTCTCCTGCCTCGGCTTCCCTGGGTGCTGGGACTAGAGGCATGCATAACCACGCCAGGCTCCTTTGATGATTTTTAACAGTACAGACAAATGAGGGATTATGCTAAGAATAACTCCTTTAAGCATGTAATCGATTGATGTCACTCTTTACACAGTGTATAATGCTTTTTATTTTTGTGCCTGTGTGTTGCAGATCTTATACAAAGCTAAAGGAGAAGACGTGAAGCATAAATACACCATCAGTCCTGATCTTCCACAGTTTTTACAAGCCAAGTGCAATGCTTACAATATAAGTGATGTAAGTAGGATCTTTGATGGGGAGTAAACCCCAGACTTGGCAAGAAAATGGTAACAGTTTAGAGAAAGTCAGTGCTTCAACAAGTATATCTGTAGCGCAGTTTTGCACATAGCCCTGGGGGAGCATATCCCAGCATGATGATTCTTTAACTCTTGAGCTGGCCCTTTTTAAGGTAAGACAACAGTACAGGATGTAACTTTCTTCTTTAGGTGGGGTCCAACAAAGCCTCTATTTAGTTTTCCTAGTTTTCATGTGGTGGAGGCTATTATCCTCCAGGAAAGTGAAAACAAAGGAAATCCTTATTGTTTTATAGTAGTCCTAAAGTTCCTGAAGTCGGTCAGTAGGTTTTCTCCTGACCTTCGTTTCGTAAACCTGAAAACTATTTTTCCCTCAGTCCTCACATACCAGTGTTGCCAGAATCTTTATTTCTCTCGTCTGGATCCCCTCCAGTTTTTCAGTGTCCTCTTCCACAATGTTCCAAAAGCAGATTTGGGAGAACAATTAGTGCAGGCTCTGGCAATTGCCTGTCAGACACCATGTATGACACTTTGCTAGCAGGGTATGTGGGGTAGGGGGTACCTTTAGATTCTATCTGAAAACAAAACCAAACAATCCCAGCGGCTGAGAAATCGTTTTAGCTGGATGAATACACAACATGCCGACATCCTTTTCGGTTTTCCCCTCCAGGCCTGTTACAAACGAGACTGGCATGATTTAATAGCCAAGGGCAACAACGTCCTGGCCGACGCCATTCCCATCACTGCAGCGAAGTCGTCGAGAAACATCGCCAGTGACGTGAGTAAAACTCTTAGCTGAAATTTGAGTGATGACCTGTTTAAAAAGTAATCAGACGTGTACCTGCTTGAACGGATACCTCACTGAACACAGTATATCAACTTAGGGGCCGGGGATTTAGCTCAGCGGCAAAAGCGTTTGCCTGGCAAGCGCAAGGTCGTGAGTTTGGTTCCCAGTACCGGAGAAAAACCAAAAAAAAAAAAAACCAAAAAAAACCCAGTATATCAATTTAATGACATTCGCATTCTGCACATAATACTGTTTTGAAAACCTGTCACCTTTTCCACGTTTTTGTGATTCTCTTCAGTTGACCCCACTTGGAAGGGCTGTCATAACCCTGACAGTGGCTCTCTCCCCGATGCGTAGCCCAAATTACCTTCATTGACACACTTCCCTGACAGCCTGTATTTACTTCAGTGGGAACACCGGGGTGACACTAACGTGCTAAATTCAAATGACTGCTTGATTATAATCGTATTAAAAAAGATTGAAAGGATGTTATATAAATGTACAAGTTTTTATACCAACCGAGAAAAGACCACTTTTTTAGGATACAATTTTGATTTGGGTAAATGGATGCCTATTTCATCTGTAATAATAAAAAAAAAAAAAGCATGAGCTTACAATTCTTCCTATCTTTGGGAAACAAAATTTTCAGAAAGCACACGTGCTCTTTCAGAGCCCGCTGTCACACCCCACCCCAGGGGCTACCGTCTTCGCTGAGAAGAGGGAAGGGAGAAGCCAGCCGCGTGTGCCGCCCACAGAGGGACGGGGATGAGAACTCTGCGGCTGTTATCCTAGGGGAGGGGCCCCAGGCCTCTCCTCGGAGCTCTGCACACACGCATGTCTCCACAAAACACATTTTTAGTTTCAGTAGAAAGTGAAGGTTGGAAGTATCACTTTATCCTTTTGGTCCATTTTTTAGCAGTTGGACAGTACTTTCTCTAACATATGTATAATTATGTACTTGAGGATCCTCTTACTTGCTAAATCCTTGTTTATGAGCCCATACATGCAGCGTAAGAAGAGCTCAGTGTCTGCACGCTTTAGATGGATTTGAATTCTCTTGTATAAACCTGAGGTTTTAACCTATTATGGAATAGCTAGATCTATTTCCTATTGCTGATCCCTGCGGTGAGAGACCTTGAACGGATTAATTTTTTGAAAATTAGGTTTTACCCATGAGAAAACTCCCCAACAGTTTCCTGCCCTGCTGTAGCTCCTTAACTGATTACAGCTGCTAAAGCTGTGACCTTGGAGCGAGGTTGCTGATACGCAGGTTTGGTGAAGGGCCCACTGCCCGCAGAGCGGGTACTCAGCCATTATGTGAAATCACATCCCTGTGAAACCAAGACATGTTTGGTAGGAATCACGTTCGTAGTAAATGTAAACATTCATTTGGTTTCAAATGTCATTCTGCATGAAAACCACCTGTAGGAGTCCAGGCAAAGAAAAAAAGCTGGTCCCGAATTTATAATGACATTCCTTTGAAAGGCAAACCATACCACCAGCAGAGTTTGGAATAAATGTTTGAACTCAGAGCCTTCTGGAGTAAGGTGTCCTTTGCATTTCTTGAACGCTCTTGCAGAATGTCCCGAGTGCCTAAGACTTTGCTAAGCCAACTTTGTCTCTGCAGTATAAATACAAAGAAGCGTACGAGAAGGCAAAGGGAAAGCATGTGGGCTTTAGAAGCCTCCAGGATGACCCCAAGCTGGTCCATTACATGAATGTGGCGAAACTGCAGTCAGATCGCGAATACAAGAAGAACTATGAGAACACCAAAACCAGCTACCACACCCCCGGGGACATGGTTAGCATTACAGCTGCAAAGATGGCCCAGGACGTAGCCACCAATGTCAACTACAAACAGCCCATTCATCACTACACGTACCTGCCCGATGCCATGAGTCTTGAGCACACAAGGAATGCGAATCAGATCCAGAGTGACGTAAGTGTGTGTAACACCGCAGACTCGCAAATGCTGGGATGGCCGTTTCCATTTTATCAGGTTTCAGAATGCAAGCAGATATTTGAAAAGTGCATTTTAGAATCAGCAACATTTGTTAAAAATTACCAAAGGCCGGCTAGACAGGCTATGATCTTTATCTGGTCTTCTGCACTTATACTACAATCATTGATGTCTTTATTATCCTGGATAAAAGATAAAACAGGTCAACTACCTGTGTGGGAGGCCACCTTGCTTCTCGGCTGCAGATGCTCCTATGGGCCTGCTTCAACAGTGATACTTATATAACTCAAAATTAGAGAATCCTTGAAGCTTTATGAAGGCAAGAAAGTTTTTTTTCCTTCAAGGTCACCCTGTTATCTGGGTACATGTCTGAAATGAGCCATCTAAAATGAACTAGGCAGGCTCTGTGCTTGCAGCATGATTCGTAGAGAACTGAATGGAGCAGTGTTTAATATTCAGGGCATTTCTTTCTGCAGGAGCCAGGTTTCTGTAAGAACTTTCCTGTGTAAAGAGATGAAATGTTATTCATTTATTGCTACTCAATGAAAGTCTTTTTACCCAGCTAAAATCTAGACTAGCCTAGGTGGACAGTGTAGGTGAAACTTGAAGTTTTGAAGTCTACAGTGAAATCAAAGGGAAAGCCCAATTTATTATCAAAAGAGACAATTTTTTAACACTACCCGTGGAAATATATGACCTAGATTCTTTTCTGTGCTGTGCAATGTGTTCTAACAACAGAACTGCTCTTTCTTATGCCGAGATCCAGGGATAAGCCCTGAGACAGGCGTAGTTAGACATGAGCTTGTTGAAAAGAACTGCTGCTCGCTTCCCTCGGATAGATTTGCAGATCCCAGAAACACTCCTTGAATATTGCCTAGGATACTTCCTCACACGGGCTTCCTCTTTTATAGAATGTGTATAAGGATGAGTACAACAACTTCTTCAAGGGCATCGGGTGGATCCCTATTGGCTCTCTGGAGGTGGAGAAGGCCAAGAAGGCGGGCGATGCATTAAATGAGAGGAAGTATCGGCAGCACCCCGACACCATCAAGTTCACCAGCGTGCCTGACTCCATGGGCATGGTTCTGGCTCAGCAGAACACAAAGCAAATAAGTGATGTAAGTGACTGCCCTGCGAAGGGTTTGCTCATTAGCAATCCCGTATTTGAGCCGCCGCTCTGTCCTTCATTCAGTACACGAGGGTGCATCTATGTTAGCAAGCAAGCTGCTTTCAGAAATGTGAGAGACGGGTTTTACTCTCAAAGCAACTTGGACGTGGGAAAAGTAGAGAGGGGAAAGAGGTATGTTCTAAATTTGCTCCAGTTTCTAAATGTAGAGCCTGTGCTATTCGTGAACAGATCCCTACCCATATACACACGAAGTGGCATTGCTACCGTTACCACCAGCAACTCTGTCTGAACTGCAGAACAATCTGTTTATTGCTCTGAGCTGTGCTAGTTCCAGCTGGGTACTGGGGAAGGCCCAAAGTCCTAACCCCCTGGCAGCACAGCTCCACGTTGAAGGCAATCATAGAAGAGGGGCTCTGGGGGGCAGGTAAGCAGTGTATTTGAAGTCATCTTGGGTCTCATTTCTGAGCCTAGGACACTTCTTCTCTCAATGGCTAATTATAGTGCTCAGTGTCTCTCAGCATGTAGTAATTTCAGAATTCTGTTAAAATGCCTCCATCAGAAAGAGCTAAGTAAACGACAAAGGAAGAAAGGCTTTTTGTTTTGCTTTGTTTTGTTTTCAGATCCAAGTTTTAGAAGTGGGGAACATTTTAACTGCTTTAGATCTAAAGATTATCGGAGGGTTTTTTGTGGCGGGGGCAGGGGTTGAACATAGGGTCTCACTGTGTAGTTTGGGCTGGCCTTGAACTCACTATGTAGCCTAGGTTGGCCTTTGAACTTGGGGTAATCCTCCTGCCTCAGCCTTCCGAATGCTGAGATTATAGATGTGTGCCACAAAGCCTGGCCTATCTGTAGGCTTTATTTCTTAGTGTAGTCCCTGCTCTTATGTTACTGCAGATGTTTAAGGATTAATTCTATTTGAGTTGTCATAAATGGTATAGATTATTTTGGTCTCTTTTTTACTGAGCAAGGTATCACTTCTCATTGGGTTTTCCCAGTTTGCTTGGAAAACTGTATGCTCTGTACCTTAAGTCTTCCCCATCCCAATAAATGCCATCAAATCTACCTACTAACTCGGGCTGAGCCTCGGTGGTCTCCCTCAATGCCATGGTGTGAGGCCTCACGTCAGTCTGCCCACTAAGTCAGAGTCCTCAGTGTCCCCAGCCAGCGTGCGGGCACATTTGTCCTCCTGCTGCCGCAGCCCTAGTTCTGGCTTGCTTGTCTCTCTTATGGGGGTGACTGCCGTGATCTGTTGTCGGGACTCCCGCCTGGCCTCATACAGTAACCTGAGAGAATGTCTTAAACTACGAACCATACCACATCCCTTGGCCATGGAGAACATATGAGAAGTGCCTTCTTGGATTACTAACTACTTAAACTACTAAAATCTACCTACTAACTTGGCTGAAAAGACCCTCTGCCTAAGGCCTGCTCCCCGCTCTGTCCACCCTTCTCTGCTGCCCTGTGTACATCCAACCCCAGGTTTCGGGCTGCTCTCAGCTGTTCAGTGTGGCCAGGCTCTTCTACCTGGAACGCTCCCCTTCCTCTAAGTGCGGGCAGAAGCTTTAGCTCTGCGGCGAGCTTTATGACGATCCTTGTTCTCTGCTATCATTGTTCTGTTTAAAGCACACCACACATTTTAGCTATAGTTTGCAGTTCACAGTTTAGTGTCTGTCTCTTCTAGACTGTGAGCATCAGGAAGGCAGCCTGCCTTTTACGGCACCTTGCACCCTAGAGCCAACACCCTGCCTGGACCCCGGCCCAGCGGACGCGGTGGAGCGACCACGAATGTGTCAGCCAGACACCGTTTCCCCACACGGCAGGCACTCGCCCCTTAGGCGGAAATCACAGACGAGAGCTTCCTCTTCAAAGGAGCGGGTGCTTGATGAAGCTCACATTCTGTCTGTTTATGACATGTGCGCGTTTCTTCCTCTGTTTGCAGCTGAACTACAAGGTGGAGGGAGAGAAAGTAAAGCACAAGTACACGATGGACCCTGACTTGCCTCAGTTTATTCAGGCCAAGGTCAACGCCGTCAACATGAGCGATGTGAGTGCCTGTCCCGGAGCGGGCCTTGCGCTGCTTGGGCCGGCCTCTCCTTGCCAGCCCTGGGACGCGCGGGGCAGGTGGAGGGCAGCCCGCCCGGGCCGGAGGCCGGCAGGGCACCGTGCTCGATGTAGCCGTTTTCAGAGTGTGCGCTGTTACGCGTTAGTGGGTGGTAAGATCGGTCTCGAAAACGCCGCTCCGTTTTTGAAGAAACGGAAGACGATAATTGCGTAGTGTGGGGATACGTAATCGGTGACGAGAATAAATACTGCTTTGTTCTGCTTTTGTTTCAGTGATTTACTAAAACTTCTAAGAGTCCAATTTTCTTCAAAAAACTTAAGAAATGAATGAGCCTATTTTGGATAATCTACACATAAAATTGGCGATAATTATTTGGATTGTTTCCTTTTTTTAAAAAATCCTGATAAATTTGGGGAACACTTTACTCTTTAAAAGATGGCTGAGTAATTTTTCCTGACATTTCAGGCCCTGGTTTATCATCCAATGAACAATTTTAATCACCAATTCTATGTTTCAGCTCATTAAAAAATATCACCTAATTTTATAGTAAACAAGAGCCATTAAAGCAGGGTGGCACTACATTTGAATTTTTAACTTTAGCTTCTATACCTGACTGCATATAAGTTTAAAATGCTTTATTCTGAAAAGTAAAATTATTTTTTTCTAAGAAGTATTTTTTTTTTGGACGGAGGGTCTTGCTATGTAGTTCAAGCTGACCTTGAACTCACTATGTAACCCCCACTTGTTTTGAACTCATGGCAATCCTCCTGCCTCTGCCTCCCAAGTGCTGGGATTACAGATATGAACCACCATGCCTGGCTGTCTCAAAAGTATTATGTGCTCCTTAATGAAAAGTTGGACATATAGATACTTATGAAAAAATAAATTAACATCTTACGTTATTTTACATTCAGAGAATTACCTTTCTGCTATTTCGTTATACAACAATATATGTTTTAAAATTATACTTATCTGGGGCCGGAATATTAGCTCACTGGCACAAGTGCCTGCCTGGCAAGTGTCAGGTCCTGAGTTCAATTCCTTGTACCCAAAAAATAAATAAATAAAATTATACTGTCTGATGGATATGTAAATGAAGAGCTAATAGCCCAATTCTGTGAATTCTCTTAATAGAAGGGAATGTGTTTTGACTGGTTTTTAAAGAAACATTTTGGCAGGCTGTTTCACTTTTCTTCTAATAATGGAAAGTCACAAAATAATCTTCCTTTTTCTTGAAGGCTCATTATAAAGCAGACTGGAAGAAGACCCTCGCTAAGGGCTATGATTTGAGACCAGATGCCATTCCCATCGTTGCTGCGAAGAGTTCCAGGAACATTGCTAGCGATGTAAGTCTGGTTTGAGAGAAGCAAATGGTCTCCCCATATCTTCCTAAATCTGCTCATGGACCTATGAGACTCCGAACTACATAAGGAAGCAAATAAAGAAATCATTACATAAAACATTTCCTAACATCAGAAGTACCAATACTATTTTATATTTCTTTTTTTTATTTGCAAGAGAATTTACAAAAAAGAACAATAGCAAAATGCCAACAACATAGACAGAAACAAAGCAAAGCAGAAACAATAAGAATGATACAGGTTTCAGAACAAAATGATAGGGATTAACAGTGGTTATTATATTACATATTTTTGTCTTCACTGAAGTTGGGAAAGAAGGAAGGGAAAATATGTATATGTATACAGAAAGAGAGCGGGGCTAACTGTCCTGTTGATATCTAATGGTTTATTGAAAAGAGCAGTTAATGCTTTATTTATTTTTTTGACCAATTTTGCATGCTTATATCTGGTAATCTGAACAACTAATTTGAAGACAACAATATGCAATGTAACAACCATTGTTGAATTCCTATCATCTTGTTTGGTGAAACTTGTATCGTTTATAATTTTTTTGTTTTTATTTTTTATTCTCTTTAATGGTTTGATTAATCTTGCATTCTTACATCTGGTAATCTGACTAACTTCGATGAATGTTTTTGTATTTCTTGACTTAAATATTTTTAAAAACTTAGGACAGTTGTCACAAAGAAATAATTCTTTTTTTATATTCTGAAAAAGAGTATGTGCTTTTCATTTTATAATTTCTGCAAAGAAAAATATCCAGTGGAAGGGGCTGGGGATTTAGCTCAGTGGCAAAGCGCCTGCCTGGCAAGTGCAAGGTCGTGAGTTCGGTTCAGAAAAACCAAAAAAAAAAAAAAAA